CTTGAATCCATAGTCAATGCCCAGAGAAGCTGTTGTTGTTAGGTGCCATCAAACAGACAACCACTCACAGAGACCCTATGCACAAGAGATCTGAACCTTGTCCTATTTTGCATATGGAAGTAGCACTCAAGAAATCAAACAACCTATTGCATTGGTCAAATCTGCTGCAAAAGACCTCTTTAAAGTGTTAAAAATTAAGGCTGTTATCTTGAGGACTGTGCCTCACCTAACGCATGATATGTTTAATCACCTCACAAACATGTGAAAGCTGGACAATAAATAAAGAAGTCTAAAGAAAAAATTATTTTTTTTAATTATGGTGATGAATATTGAATATACAAAAAATGTTAGAATGCCAAACCAATATGTCTTAGTAGAAGTATACCCAACATGTTTCTTAGAAGAGGATGGCTAGATTTAGTCTCATGCACTTTAGACTGGTTATCAAACTGGACCTGTCCCTGAAGAAGGAAATCATGTACAGTAGATGGTCAGCGGAAAAGAGGAAGACTCTCAAACTAGAACGATGGGCTCAAATCATAAGAATGATTGTGAGGATGATGCAGGCCCATGCAGGGTTTTGTTCTGTTGCAACTAACTCAACAGCACTTAAGAACAATAAACACGGGCATGTGTATCTGTTCTTTAAGATGTATGCCTGATAGTGAAGATTGCCTGATCAAGTGGTATTTTTATTTACAACTTTTTAAGAAAAACTGCTTTCCATAGTGATTGCCTATTTTACAGTCCTACAAGTAGGAGAATTTAAATCTTTCTGTAATGCTTCTAGCATTTATTATTGACTGTCTTATTAAAGTTTGTTATTGTTCCTGAGATGTGATGCTATTCCACTGGGGTTTTTTTTTAATTTATATTTCTTCCTGTGTTTGTTGATCATCTGAATTTTTTTTTAGGGGGTGAAATGTCTTCTCAAGTCCTCTGCCTATTTGTTAACTGGATTGTTTGGTTTTTTTTCTTGGTGGAGTATTCTAAAAATTTTAGAGGTGAATCTCCGTTCAGATATGTTATTGCCAGACATTTCCCCCTGGTCTGTAGGTTCTCTCTTTTTTGGGGGGAGTGAGGTCTTTTGATGTACATGATTTAATTTTTAGGAAGTTTCATTTGCCTAGCTTTTCCTCTGCAGCTGATGTATTTTCCTATCATATTTGAGTCATTTATGCTATAAATAGGGCTCTAAAGTTTGCCCTAGTTCTTTTCTTTAATGACCAATATAGTTTAAGGGTTTTTTGCCTAGGTTTTTTTATTCAACCTTCATGAATTTTTACTATATGGTGTGAGGTACAGATCCTGTTTCATTTTTCTGCAAATAGCTATCCAGTTTTACCAACACTATTTGCTAAAGAGGCTGTTTTGCTACCATTTAGTAGCTTCATCTCTGTCAAAGATCAGCTATCCATAAGTGTATGGATTTTTTTTCTGGATTCTCAATTCTATTCCATTGGCCTATGTATCTTTCCATGCAACAGTACCAGATTATTTTGATTACCATGACTATTGGGAAGTGATCCTACTCTGCTTTCATCTCCAGTAGTGCTTTTCTTATCCATGATACATTTCCCAAAAAAGGAACCTTGTGTGTGAGGGGAAGCAAACTCTTTCCACTGTTATGGTGTGTGGAGGCAAGATTCCTGGTCTGATGTAAAGTTTCTGCTAATCAAGCAGAAGGATGGAGGTGTAGTGTCCAGTCAGGGCAGAGTTTCTGCTTATTTTGAAAGATGGCTGAGGATACCTGAGAGATCCTGGGACACGAGGACATGAGCCTTTGTTGGCCTAGAAAATATCGAGAGGCACGATCATCTAGCCTGGGATGGAGTTTCTGCTGATCTCCAAGGTGCCAAACACAGTCTTCTTGATAAGAAATGGTGGGGCTTTTTGTTTGTTTGTTTTTCTAGTTCAGGGGATGAGGACAGCAGGGCATCCAATCGGTGATGAATCCTTCTGTCATAGTGATGAGGTAGAGTGTATGGGGTGACTTGCAACTGGATCCAGATCCACAAGGGTTCCAGACTAAGTGGTAGAGTAGGTTCATCAGAAGTTCAGACAGAATACTACACTAGCCCTCACAGGAGGAGTGAATGCACTTCTTCATGTAGGTGTGATGTGCACCTGATGCCAAACCTACAGAGGCATCTTGCCAGAGTCAGTCTCTGCCAAACTAGGGATGGACAAGGACAATACAATACTGTACCCTTGAGAGGCAATGTGGGTGCAAAAAGTACATCGTTCCCAATGTGGTCATGGTGTGTGACAGACATAGAATCCCCAGGGACATCTAGTCAGAGCTTCTTTCTCCCAAATTGAAGGGAACTGTAAGTAGACAAGCACCCTAGTAAGAGATAGTGCTTCTATCAACCTAGGTCGTAACTGTGGAAAAATATGTACCCTAGGAGGGTACAGGAAACGGAGAAACAAGTTTCTCTCTTGTCACCAGTGATCCAATGATATGGACACTGTTGAGGTCCTGGGTTCCTGCACTGATCACAAAACTGTGAAGAGTTCAAAATAGTTGCACTGTGTCAGATATGTTCACAGTTTACTACTTTTTATAGCTCCTTCATTTGATGTTTTTATTCCGTTTCTTACTTCACTTGGTGTTTAAACTACTTCATTATTATTTCCTTTGACATTTGCTTATGGTCATATCACCCATATATGTTATCTTTGTTTTTTCATGTCATACTTCTAGGGGGTCTCCGCTGCCATCTTCATAGGCTGCCATTTTGCTGGACACTCTGACACCTAACGTAAACCACCAACAAAATAGACTGTGCTCTGCTGGTTGGATTAATTTCTGATCTATTTGATCACTTACTTTCGTTTTTGGAGAAATGAAGTTAAAAATCAATTTGAATGTTTAGAACCATGGAAAAAATATGAGTTATATATATCAGAAAAGTAAAGATTTGGAATTAGTGCATGATACCTACTTATTTAACAAATAATAGAAGGAGCAATATCTCTTGAATATATGTTCCTAAAATATATTGTGTCTTAAGAGTTATTTTACTGGAAATTAAAACATCTCCCTATAGCTATCTCATATATTGAAGATAGCAGTTGTAAATGTCAAAATTATGGTTGAATGTTTTTATTTGTTGTTGTTACATATCATTGATTCAGCTCATAGAGAATGAAAAATAACAGAGGTTTCAACAAGATAGAAATAATTTTTTTTTCTTAACATAAAGTAGTCCATGGACCACAGCTAAAGACTATCCAGTGGCTCCTCCTTGTTATCCTCAGGGACCCAATATTTCTATGTTCTTATTTCATGACTCAAAGATATAAACTTTTGCTTCCATTCCCAAGAAAGGTGATCCAACAGAATGTAGAAATTATCAAACAATATTATTAATATCACATGCAAGGAACATATTTCTGAAGAGCATCCAGAAGGAGCCAGAGTAAGACATTGACAGGGAACTGCCAAAAGTTCAAGCTAGGGTCCATCTGACATCAACAATGGTATCTCTGATGCTGAAGATCATCCAAAAATGGCTAGGCATTGGTCAGGCAGTACACTGAGAGAGAACTTCCAGATGTTCAAGCTGGGTTTAAAGGAGGCTGTGGCACCAGGGATATCATTTCTGATATCATATGGATCCTAACTTAAAGCAAGGAATCCCAAAACAATATCTATCTGTATTTTATTGACTGTGTGGATCATAAACTATGGCTCACATGGGGGCATTTAGAAGAATAGGAATCTCAGAACACTTAATTGTATTTAAATGATATCTATTTTGTCAAAACAAAACAAGGGAACACTGTATGGCTTAAAATCTTGAAGGGTGTACAGCAGGGTTGTATATTTTCTCCATATCTATTCAAACTGTATGATGAACAAATAATTTGTGAAATAAGACACTATGAAGAAGAATGTGTCATCAGGATCAAAGGAAGATTCATTAACAACCTGTGCTATACAGATGACAAAACTTTACTGAAAGTGAGGACAACTTGAAACAATTGCTGAAGAAGATCAATATGTATTACATATCCAACATTAAAATTCAGGTCATGGTCTTTTCAGTCATTGCTATGCATCTGAGAGTTGGACATGGATAAGGATGACAGAAGTATAATTAATTCCTTTTACTTGTAGTGTTGGAGAAGAGTACTAAATATCCCATGGAATACCAAAAGAATAAACAGATGTGTCATAGAAAAAATGCAGAGTGCTCCTTGGAGGCAAGGATAGTGAAGCTTATCTCTCATACTTTAGAAATGCTTCTGAGAGAGGTTATTCCTGGAAAGAGATATCATATTTGGAAAGGTAGAGAGTTAGCGCAAGAGAGGAAGACCCCCTATGAGATGAACAGACAGAGAGACAGCAGCAGTGACCTCAAGAGTATCAGATGATGAGAAAGGCATATGATAGGACAAGATTCACGTCTGTTGTTCATAAGGTCATTATGAATTGTACTCTACATTACCTAACAACAACAAAAATAGCAATGTCACTAAGGTCCACTCCACAAGCTCTAGAGTATCTGCTGGTCTAATGTGGTAATTGCAGTTATCCAGTCAAAAAGTCCACGTTGTAGGCTTGAAGGAGAAAAAAATAGAGGGACAAAGAGGAGGCTCTTTCCAATTACGCCAGCTCCCTTTAAGCCTTCAGGAATCCTATACAGCATCTCCTCTCATATCTCATCTACAATTTAGTCACATGTCGCAGTTAGCTGAAAAGACAATTGAAAATATAAAATCAGCTAAAAAATCAGGATTCTGTTATAGAGAAACGAAGGGAAGAATGAGTGTTGGGGAGGCACTATCCCTGTCTTACTGATACAATGTAAAAAACAAAACACTTCTGTTTTTGCTATGAGTTATAGTTTCTTAATTTAGAATTCTGGCTTAATTTAGAAATCCTGTTTCTTCTGTTAAGTATCATTTCTTTATTTGGCAATGTTGTCTGACTCTTGCTCTCTTCTTTGCTCTTGCCTTTCAGCTGTTTTGGAAAGAAGCAAGTTTTAGACTTCTCCATGTTAACCATGAGCGTGACACTTTCCCCTCTGAGGTCACAGGACCTGGATCCCATGGCTACTGATGCTTCGCCTATGGCCATCAACCTGACACCCACTGTAGAGCAGGGCGAGGGAGAAGAGGTGATGAAGGACATGGATTCTGACCAGCAGTATGAAAAACCACCTCCACTCCACACGGGGGCTGACTGGAAAATTGTCCTGCACTTACCAGAGATTGAGACCTGGCTCCGGATGACCTCAGAGAGGGTCCGAGACCTAACCTATTCAGTCCAACAGGACTCAGACAGCAAACACGTGGATGTGCATCTAGTTCAGCTTAAGGTAAGGCAAGTCTCTGACCTTAGGGTAAATTCAAGATAGAGGAGTCTGAAAAAAATCCAGTGCCTGGAACCTGAATGTTGTAATTCCTAATGAGAAAATGTTCAGCAAGTAAAATTGAATAACAGGCTTGAAAATTGAATACCAGGCAGAAATAATTCTTTGTTGGCTTTATTTCCTGTGCTGATTATCTATACCAAAACTAGCCTTTGGGGAAATTGTAGAGAAGGAAGGGGTTAGAAAGGCTCTTATTTAAGCAGTGACATAGAAATTGGTTAAAAAGAATAAATGTGAATTTTAAAGTATTACAAATGGTTTCATAAAAGTATTCTCATGAGAAGAGTATCAAGTGGAGCAATCAAATGATTGCTATGTGTGTATATGATTATTATGTTTTACTGAAGGTGATAAGACCTCTGTGGAAATGAATGAATTCTGGCATAATATAGAAGGACAGATGTTATAATTTGAAAATTAGTCCTTTTATCCAGGTACAATGCATTTTACAGAGCAAAAGTAATTTTATAGCAACTCATCATTGTTCAGTCATTTAAAAAAATGTCTGGTTTCAAGATCCGCCTAAAATCTTAACTGTTGTAACCATGGAATGAAGACATTACTAAAGAGAGCTATTGAGATTTTTTTTTACCTAGGGTCCCCAAATTCTGAGTCTCTTGTCCTGTGATAGCCACTTCTCTCTTTTAGATCTCTGAGAAAAAAGTTCCTGCTTAGGTGAATTACCAGCAAAGCAAGATGGGTTCATAACCGATCAGGATGTTGACTCTACACTTGATACAAACCTGGGTCAGCTTTATGTGATTCTAAGGAAAATCTCTTCTGTCAGCTAAACTTGTTGCCATTATGCCAACTCCAACTCATAGTGACTTTGTGTGTATCAGAGTAGAACTGTGGTTCTTAGGGTTTTCAAGAGCTAATTTTTCAGAATTAGATCATCAGAACTTTCTGACAAGGTAACTCTGGGAAAGCTCAAACCTCTGATGTTTTTATTATCAGGCCAGTGTATTAACCATTTGTAACTCCAACAGATTCTTTATCTATGGTGCTTTATCCTATATTATCTGACATAAAAATGCAACAGCTTATTGGATCACCAAAACCTACAAGATTCAGCCTTTAGTAGGAAAGGATGGTTGCTGCGGAGAGCATGAGCCCAAACCCAGAGCAGAGATACTTCCATTTTATTCAGACTGGCTCAAGAGATAGAGAGAGTATGTCACAGAGTGTTTGTGTGAGATGTGTGATAGAGAGAGTGTGCAAATACTGAGAGGGAGGAGAAAGTGGTGGGGAGAGAAGGGAAAAAAAATGAGGTGGAATGTCAAAGGTGCCTACAATTCTCCCAAATTGAGCAGGCTGGGGTCAACTTTCTACAGAAATTTTGGAGGGAAAAGTAGAATAAGTATATCCAGGATTAGATTTCTAAAGAAAGGTGACTATTATTCTTCTCAGTCTTTCAGACTTATGCAGAAATGGTACTGCATGATAAACTTAGGTGACAGGGTCTAGTGATCCTACATGAAAGAGCAGAATTATCCAGTAAAATTCCTAGGTTGTAATCTTTAAAGGAATAGATCGACTATGCTTTCTCTCTCAGAGTGGTGGTGATTTTGAACCACCAGCCACCAACTACCAATTATTACTATTTGTCAAGCAACTGATCACTAAGTCAATTGCACCACTAGGTTTCCATAAATGTTGAATTGAGATACGGGAAAGATCAAAATATCCTTGGAAGACTACTAAAACTATCGTTAAAAGGTTTTCAAAAACATTGAAGTGTCAGTTAATTTTAGTTAATAACATCAATAATAAAAATTAATAAATAAGATGAAAATATAAACTTAAATTCCATATAGAAAGGTAAAGTTTTTATACAGCTGATATATGTATATATTTTGTTTGTAAAATCATTTCTAGGGTGATTTGCTTATCTTTTTCTTACTGAAACTATTTGCACTTAGAAAAAGTGCAGCCAGAGTGCTCTTTGGAGGCAAAGATGGCAAAGCTTCATACTTTGGGCATGTTGCTAAGAGAAGTTTTTCCTTGGAAAGGGATATTGAGCTTGGAAAGATGGAGAGTTAATGAAAGACAGGAAGATCCAAACAAGGTAAATTGACACAGTTACTAAAGCAATGGGCTCAAGTGTGTCAGAGATGATGAGGATGACACAGGATAGAACAGTGTTTGGGTCTGTTGTTCACAGGATACTAGACCTGACAGCACCTAAAAACACCAACAGCTTACATAAATTACTTGAATTATTCATTTACTATGAAAAGAAATGCCAAAAAGATGGGAATTCCCATCTAGGTTCTGATCACTTAGGTGCTGACAGTCCTCATGTGTTACCAGAACAGCCAGCTACCTAACTGACATTTCCACTTATAGATCTAGTCAGAATCTCAAACTAGGTATAACCATTCTGGGGCTCTTATCTTTCCCATCTCTACTCCTCCTTCAGTCTTCCAATTTAAGTAAATGACATTAATTTGCCAAATGAAAACAGGATTCTGTCACCCCATAGGTATATTTTTTATCAACAAATATATGAATCTGTTTTCAAATATGACCCAGAATCATTCATTTCTCCCCAGCCTTCATCTTGTCACCTTAAATCAAGTTGCCTTACTGCTTGCCTGGGCTATTTTTACAACTTCCTAATCTTCCACTTTTCCATACAATAGCAGACAGAATCTTATAAAAATGTGAATCATATCTGTCATTCTCTTGAACTTATAATAAATCCAAGTTCTTTCCTGGGCCTTTGCCTCTGTCTGCCTCTAGTCATATCTTCTCTTTCCTCTTGTTCATAAGGCTTTGGGAACAATACAAGTTTCAAGGAGATGATAGGCTATTTCTTCCCATGGGGCTTTTGCTATTCCCTTTTCTTCTCCTCCCTATGTTTGCATGGCTCAATTTTTTGTCCTCTTTTGACTCCTTTGACAATGATTTTGGTTAGTAGATTTACTCTCAGGTCTTCTAAGCCAGGTGACATTCTTTATTTTTTTAAAGGTGATTTGAGTTCTTTTTAGAGAAATTTTGTTGATCTTAAAATTTATTTATCAGCTTTAACTCATTTTTAATTTCTTAGTAGAAGCTATGCTATAGTCACAAGGATAAACCACAATGGGAAAATTCTCAGGGGAGTGATTATTCCAGAGAGTTAATAAAAACATCCTATGGTAAGATTAAAAGATGGGAAAATGAACTATGTCATACTAACTACTTTCTGGCCATTAATTCTTAAAATGAAATATGCAATAAATATATTTTGCTTCTTGGTTTCCAGATACTGTTTAGTAAATGTATGGCAAGGCAGCTGAATAATTTTTGAAATCTGCCTTTCCCTCTTTGGATTCAGAAATTGTACTGTGCAAGAAAACTAGATCAAGAACTTGAAACAGTTTTTACTTTAATTGAAACTCTGGTCTGGATGAAAGTATTTGAGTTTTAAACAAAGTAGACATCTCTATTGTTGTTATGTGCTGTTGAGTTGCCTGATATTCTATGTACAGCAGCTCTGAAGCCTACCCTGTCCTGAGCCAATCTATTCCCACTGACCCAGTTATTGTATCAATCAATAGGGGTTCTTCCTCTTCTTGTCCCTCCACCCTTCCAAGCATGATGTCTTTCTCCAAGGATCAGTCTCTTCTGGCCACATGCCCAAAGTATGTGAGACAGAGCTTCAAAATCCAAACCTCCAAGGAGAAACTTGGTTTCACCCTCTCCGTGATATGTTCAAGACGCTTCTCCAGCACCACAACTTGAAGTCTCTACTTCCTGATTAAAAGGAAGCATGATACCAGAAAAGAAACAAGGTTTACAGTGGCTAGCATAGAATGAATAATGTGGTTGAATGACACTGTAGATAAATTCTCCTACTCTAAATCACCTCCACATGATATTTGTGGCACAAAGTTAGAACACTGACAGACTATTTACTAGCTATTCTGAGTAGGCTCTACCTTGATTGTGAAGTAACTGACATCTAGGTATGAGGCAGAGAGTTAGTGACTCAGAATTAGTCGCTCACATGTGCTCTGAATAGTCGTAGGTGGAAAAACCTTGAGTTTTCACTGCATGTGGGATTCATCACATTAGATGCACCTGATAGACTGAGATGTTGAAAATCTGGAAATTGTAAGGCTCTTAGGAAAAGATTCGTATCACCATGGTACAAGGAGTCTGCCCCACTGGGAGAAGTGGAAAGGCAATAGTAGTTCATTGAGTTTTGTATTCATGGCTCTGCTACCTATCAGGGCCAGTGACCCTGTCTGTGTTGCTACCCAGTGAGGCAGAAGGGCTGTGGGTATAACTTGGAAGACCTATCTCAGGAAACTCTCTGGCTGGAGTTTTCTAGTCCCCTGTTCAGTAAGTACAGAAGGATGTTCTCTTTTGCCCAGTGTCAGGGCTTAAATAGCCAACCTTTGCCTGAGGTGACAATGATGACATCAGCAAGACAGCCATGGAGTCTAGGGTCTTGGCTAAAACAGTAACTTAGCACTTACTGACATAGAATCCGTTTCCAATGGTAGTATATCTTGAGACATGTTCAAAAACTAATTGCCTAGGTCACACACCAGAGCAGCTACATAAGAATCAGAGACTTGGATCCAGGTATCTATATTTATTCTCGTTCCCCCCCAGAAAGGTGATCCAACAGAGTATGAAGATTATTGAACAATATCACTAACATCACACACAAGCAAAATCATATTGATGATTATCCAAAACTACTGGAATAGTAGTAGATCTACAGAGACTGCCAGAAATACAAGCTGGGTTTAGAAGAGGTTATGGCACCAGGGATTCCATTGACAATGTCAGATGTATCTTTGCTTAAAGCAAAGAGTACCAGAGAAATAGCTATTCATGTTTTATTCACTATGTAAAAGCATTTGACTGTGTGGATCATGACAAATGTCTAACATTGAGAAAAATGGGAATCCCAGACACTTGATTGTACTCATGCAAAGGCTAAACTT